AGAGCATCCATGGACACATGCATCCTTGTTAATAACTGAATGGGCCATTAATAACATGAATTTCAGTTTCACATCTGAGCATCCTAACATCTAAAGCTATGATACAAATATATTCAAAGATACCCATCTTTGTCATTTTTTTTCAGAAGCAATATAGATATTTTTTACAATAAAATACTGGCAAGAATGTTTTATGGGATGCCTCCAGGAACAAATACAATGTGAAATACAGAGAAATTCTCAAAGCATTGGATGTTGGTTAAATGGTCATTATTCTTTTTCAAGGAAAGAGCAGAAAATCAAACATAGTTTAGAAAAAGTAATTACATTAAGGACTAATACAGGCATACTCTCAGGACACAGGCCAGTAGTTCAAATTCACTCCAGGTTCTGTGATGTGGCAGTAAAGAGACAGGAACTAAAGTGTCCTTTATACAGCCCTTTTGAAACGAGAATTTTGCTATTATCTCGGCAGTGGAAATTTTGAACTTGAGTTTCCTGGCAAGAATGAACAGTGGCACTATTTCATGTTGGTAACTAAATGCCAAATCTTTTGCTTACATTGGAGGATCACACATTGTCAGAGTTTCACATCAAGGGATGAAGTGACAAGTGGGTATATTTAAGGCACACTGGTGAGGAAAGTGTAAAATCTGGATATGAGTTCCAATACAAAGTAGACAACAATTAGCCTTGGAATATTGAGTCAGAAGACTGCTGGGGAAGCCAGAGTAAAACCATCCTTATGTACATTAAGAATGCTTGGGGGAGGTAAGAGTGTATATACTCTGTAAATGTGAGCCTAAAGGATCAACAGTGAAGGTTCTCTATGGAGATGTCTCAAAGAGGAAGCAGTTTTCCAAAAGTAGAGCTGTCTGAAATAATCCTGAATGGACATAAAGTAGGTTCAAGACACTAGAAGGATTCAAAGAGAAACAGAACAAATGTCTTTTGAAGATGCTTAAAGATAACCACTATGGGGAGTGAGAGAGGAGCTTCTGTTCACGTGGATTCACTGATCATTAAAGTCAGCTTTTGTCTCAGCATGCCCAAGATTGTGTTTACACACAGTCTAGCCTCTGCTTTGATAGAAGCCTCTTGGAATGTTTATGGGTTCTCAGACCAAATTCTAAATCATTTACATTTGCCAGAGCCTTCTTCAGAAACACAACAAAAAAGCAAAATGCACCATTCCCCAAATCCTCTGGTTGCCTTTTAACACCACATGCAATCTGTCACATCTCAGGTTGGAACTTCACAGAGATTATAGTGATCATTATATTAGGGTATTAAAACACAGGTCTCAAATACCTCACTTTGAAAAACACCCAAATGTCATGTTATGCTTTTGTTGCTTTGCAGTGAAAGGTGAGATGTGGAGACTTCAGGGACAAACTGTGCATCTCTAATGGAAAAAAATATATACCAAGGGCATTTCACAGAGCACTGTCTATAAAGATAGATAAATTTAGGATGCAAGAGTCACACAATAAGCTTCAACCCCATCAATCTGGTCATAAGGCTTTGATTCATTAGACAGCTTAGCCTCCAGGCACATACGTGTTGGCCAGCCAATCATGTAAAGTCACTAATACAGGCATGAATACTTGAGTCATCATAATTGGTGATACATATATAAACATCTACCATATAATATACTAAAGTGCCTAACTCATCATAGCAATACTTGAAATTTTATGAAACATCATAGGTATGGTTAATATTTTTATATAAATGATTCCTGAGGACTATCTTTCTTAAATATTTCTGTATGTCTATTAATCCCATGATCCTATACCATGTAAGACTTGATGATCTACCCTCCTCCAGATGTTTCTTGGAAAAGCAGATAGTCCACCAAAATGCTCACAGAAGAGTGCCTTCTGGGTAGATCAGCAAAGCCTGTTTGTATCTACTGAAGCTCCATGAAATGCCCATGTCAGATATAAGCTCTGTGTCTTGTTTCTGTTATGAATGGAATGGCTAAAGGTGTGTGTGCGTGTGTGTGTGTGTGTGTGTGTGTGTGTGTGTGTGTGTGTGTGTGTGTAAAGTAACCTGCTAAGTTTCCTCTGGCAAAGTGTCAGCTGAGCTTTTCTGAGTGATTCATTTGCATGTCATTTGAATTCTATCGAAGTGCACCTGTTCTGAAAGTGCAGGCTTTAGAATCAGGACATCATTTGTTCAAACAAGAACCTGTGTTTCTTAGCTCAACCTTCTTGCTAAATTAAATCTCAGAAATTGATTCGTAATTAACTAACAGAAAAAAGTTGATGGTACTTTTCTTGGCTAAACAGAACAGCCTTGAAATTGGTAATATTTACTTTCTCATAAATGCTCTTCTCATCTTAAAATAATCTTCACCTTCCGAAAGGAAGCTTGGCATAAAAAAATTTGGGTAAGCATGAATTTTATCTGAAACAAAATAGAAATGCTTCAGATAAAATAAAAGCCAAAAGCTGTTATGGAATAATCTTGAAGGAATATGTTTATCAAATGGTAGTTTTAAAGTGATCATAAAGGTTACCTTGGCAAGTTGTTGATGGCTATGGAATAAGTCCATCTTTCAGTTTGTGTCCCTGTCTTCCTAACCCTTCACCATAAGCATTTTAATCTTCTGCATGGGTGTATCATGGCTACATCACAAGACTAAGGAAGTCTATAAGTCATTTATTAGAATGTTCTTAAGTACATATAATACACATAATTACAAAAGAGAAAATTATGTTGAAATGCAAGGATTGAAGTATCAAACATGGTTATGATACAGCAAGGCAAACCCTTTATTATTTAATACATTGAAAATAGCCGCTATCCAGGGTCTAATAAATTCCATAATCTTGAAATAATAATTAGAAAAATCACTATTCAAGATGAAGCAAACAAGATTTTATCTCTGGAAGAAATATGATACATAAATATCTGTAATTTCTGAGTAATAAAGTCATTATGAGTACTGCTGATTCCATCACAATGAAAGCTAAAGTCAGACTTTTCCTACCTATGGTCAAAATACCCTAAGTTCTATGCATAGATTACTTGGAAATGTATGGACCTAGACAACACCCAAACAGACAATGGCCCACCATTGTACCCTCTTTTATTCAACTTCCAAAAAGATGCAGTGGGGCAAAAATATTTTTGCCCTCTGTCTCATGAAGTAAAAATTAATGGAATTGTATCACAGACTAGGTGTAAGTACTGGATTGAGAGTCTGGAGCTGAGCATGGGCAAGGTACACATTACCAGAAACTCTAAGGACATCAGTACTGTCTTTACCTATAGATGTTTACAAAGTGGAGTCAGAAATAGATTGATGACAGGTAGTTTATTAGGGAAAAGTACTCAAACAAGGGAGCCAGTGACCAGGATTGCACCGGAGCAGGACAGACCCTGAAATGTTTCCTAGTCAGCTCACCCAGATGAAAGAGAGCTGCATGAGTGCCTCCCTCCTTCTTAAACCCGTGTTATCTAACTCTGACCAATACTACCCCTATACCAAAGACTATGGGACCATTGTGGAAGAGAGGGCAGAAGGATTATAAAAGCCGGGTTATCAGAACACCTGCTGCTGGATAGTGTCTTCTAGACCTGACAGGCATGCTGTACCCATGAGGTCTCAAAAACAAGTCCTGAAAAATGACAATGTCAGTCAACACACCAGTGTTTCACAAGACCCACCACAACTAGTAGCTGCTGAGGGAGAGGGGATCCATTTTCTCTAGGGGTTAACTCCCTGGTAGCGTATTCAATCCTAAGTTCTCTGCCCCTAATGCATATGCAAATGAGCAACACTAAATGGATTCAGTGGGTTTTATATATTTATACATAAACATGATATATATATATCATATATGTTTATATATCATATACATTTACAGAAGAAAAGGTCATGAATTTGAGAGGAGTTGGGATAAACACAGGAAGTGCTAGAGGAAAAGTGGACATTGGAAATGATGTAAATACATACTTATATATGAAATTCTCAACGATTTGAAAAAATAAGCACTAGGAGGCAGCTTTGAACTCGGACCATAATTAGTCAAGCCCTGGCCAGACTATCGGGGTACTGTGCATCTAGCATGATAAAGGGACTTGTAAGTCTTTTTGGTGCAAGCTACAAGGAGGTAGAGTTTAATTCCTCTGTAATTGGGAAGTACTTATGATATGAATTTTCTGGACACAAGTAATGATGAGATCTAGTCTATAGCACTTCACTAAGGAGGGGCTGATTTGTTTGATAGCTTACATTTCAACTTCAGCTTTGAACAGACTTCCCTTTTATTTGAGATTTTCTGCAGGAGTTTAACCCCCATCCATAGCCCTGCCTTGATCCTAGAAGTTCCATATTCATAGAAACATCATTACAGTGACTGATAAATACTTGATCATTACTTCTGGTCCCTGTCATTAAAATGTGAGGAGACAGAACTTCAAGTCCTTTCCCCTAGCTATTGGCTGCAAGAGCTGCAGAGCGCACAGGTGGTGGAGAAAATCATCTTTTTTTCCCTGTTCCTCCTATCAATATAAAGAAATTACAAATTAGAATCCATAAGCACTATCAGACTCTAGCAATGGGTGGTCAGCTTAGCAATGATAGCATGTGATGCCTGATGTTACAGACTTAACAAATACAAAAGTGTGTTCTACTTCTTAGAAAGCAAAGTGGCTGCAATAGGCATTCCCAGATAGATGAGCAAGAGCCACTCTTCAGTCTTGCTTAGAGTTCCTCTTGGGGGAGGAGTTGTATGGGAAATTCACAGATTCCTAAGTGTTAACATTTAAATACAGCATCACACACTACACACCACAATACAACCTTGTTTTCATTAATAAAGTTGCAAAAGAGCCCCCATTAATACTAGATATTATACTGCATTCTAGTATTTAAAATGCTTAGTAATTATCTATGCCGCTCCTGTTCAAGGGGATCTGGTACTTAATTTGTTTTGTTATGATTCTGCATGGGTCTCATCAAACTTCTCTTTTCTGTTATTTTGCAGTTTTCTCCTTGTATTTGGTTGCTTGATTTTGTCAGTGTTTTCTACTATCCCTGAGCACACAAAATTGGCTTCAAGTTGCCTCTTAATCCTGGTAAGTGAATCATATATATTTATAAATGTATATGTATAGATATATGAATGTGCATAAAGTTTATGTGATGTAACAACTGTGTATAATATTTGTGCTATGCATTTTATCCTATATTTTATCCAGAAAGATTGCCACTGCAAAACATAAAACTGTCAAAGGTTGTTGATTGTAACAGATAGTCAAACATGAGAAATCCATGCAGAAATAAGTAGGATTTTATTAGACAACAATATCATGTCCTGCAGGTACATCACCAGAGGAAGGCAATGTTTAAAGGCAGCTATGATTGTGTTTGCCTCTGCTAATAAACAATTATAACAAAAATCAGCACGCATGTGATTTCTCATTATTGCTAAAGGCTACAGGGTAGAAAGCGTTTTCCAATAACTGAATTTAGCAGTAGCTAAGTATAATTGGCTAAAAACTGTGTGAATGTAGCTCCTCATAGGAAAACAGAAGTCCCTTTATGCTTCTCTCAACTAACAGACTGTATTATGAGTTCGCTGCTAATGCGGTTACCTGGTGAGAAACTGCAGATTTCTCTGTTTCCATTATGCTGTCAGTCCTCAACCACACAGAATTATCCAATTCTCTTTAAAATGGAAAAAGACCCCAAGATATTTTAGTCTGAGTTATTCTGAGCCTTTTAAGCTCTTGTAGTTTCTATTACAATGAACCCATAGCACTTCATGCTCCAATCACATCTGATTGAAAGTTTGGTCCATTTACATCCATTTCAACCTGGCTCACATAGTCCAAAATTATTAGGCTTGACATTCTCAGAATTGTGTGAATGAGCTGGAACAACTCAATTCTGTGAGGCATGGTGTAACAGAGGAAGGAGGGGAGATGGGTTAAAACGGTTTCTGTGAACTAACAGAGATTGGTTGTGTATAAAAATCATTTAAGATGCAAAGATTCTGTGTCATAGAGGTGGGAAAGGAACTCGTGCAACACAAAAGAAGGCAGATGCTTTCCTGACCTTTGCTTTCATATGGCTAACTTGTGCTTAATGTTGCTAAGACAGCACCTAGTCCTTGCATTAAGGAGGAACCACTTTTGAATCGAGAACGATTCAGACACTGGGAGTTTGTTCATTGCACAGTTTCCATTTGGGTAGCAAGTAGGCTTTTAGCTTGGTCCACCCCTCTGCTTATTGCAAATGATTTTTGAAGCCTCAGGTCTACGTCTCAGCTGATTTTAGGTTCACTCAGAACTGGGAACTATAGCTTGAAAATGTAAATCTGACTTTCAGACCTTGGAATAAAATTAAAAGCAAAAAATACATTGAATGAACATATGCTTATGTTTAGAATTATCAGCCACTGGGAATCCCATAAAAAAGTTTAATTAATAATCAGGACAAGAATCCAAAACTCATGAGTTATAGTCTCATTTTGAGGAATGTCCTTGAGCTAGCTGCAGATAGATATTTCAGAAGGGTGCTGCTATATGGTGTTTAGTGGAGAAAAAAATTATTAATTTTCCTATTTGCAGGCTGCAGCATTACATTTTCAGGGTGTCAGTTTTAAAGCTAAAGTGTGTTCTAGAGACCTGCCTATTGCAAAGCTAAGATTCAGCACTTTTTCAAAAAAAAACTTTCATTTTACTTTTAAAGAGCAATTAAAATAAAACAATTGAGTTTTTATTTGTATGGGAAATTGATAACTTGAAAGAACATGTATATTTTAATACTTTTCACAATGAGCTAATGCAGCATATATAACAGACATTCAATTATAGAACATTAGAAAACCTGAGAACCTTTAATGATTTAGAAAACCTCTTGCTATACTATAAAAAGTATTTTTGAGATAGTTACTCAGATTTCAAAGACTATCTGCCCTATGAACATATAATCAAGCAGTTCAAAGTATTCAGTTCTGTCTGACTGGGGTTTTGTTGGTTGGTTGGTTGGCTGGCTGGCTGGCTGGCTGGCTGGCTGGCTGGCTGGTTGGTTGGTTGGTTGGTTGGTTGGTTGGTTGGCAGGTTGGCTGGCTGACTGGATGACTGGATGACTGGATGGCTGGATGGTTGACTGGTTGGTTGGTTTTAGCCGCCAACATAAAGAATACCTAAAATTTTATTCAAATAATAATAGAAACTATTGAAATATAAACAAAAGTTTACAATAAATTACCCATTTATCAGAGTGACTAGCTGTGTACCTTGAACTGGCTCAAGCAATTCTTCTGCCTTATACTCCTGGTAGTTCATATCATAGACCCCTCCACCATAACCAAATAATGTGACTTTTAGTCCTTTGGTGTATATAGTTGGTGTACAAACACAATACTAGAGGAATATTTATAATTACATTTAAATAGTGATGTACTTTGTATATTTTGCCATGACTCTATTTCTTTTAGGTCTCCACAAAAGTATGTTCATGGTAAGGTTCATGGTATGGTAAGGGGTTTTCTGTAACACCTGTGAAAATAATAGACACCCATACATCTAGAAAGAATGCATATATTGCTGGCAAACCTGGCCATAAACAAACCTCCTAGGGGAGTCTTGGATGCTCCATTTTTCCTCTTCTGGTTTCACTGAGATCACCAGTATAATGCATATAGACCATTATGTATATATTGTCTTGATCACTACCTAGGGTCCCATGAAGATTCCAGCTCTTCATCCCATGACCCAAAGAGGACACTACCAACACACCATCCACAATTGCACTTCCAGTCCTAGTGTAAAACTAAGATCCATAAACTTGTCTGTGGTATAAACTTACTTGATGTTTTGCTAATTTGTTCACTTACTCTTTCTGTTGGGGAAAATGCTATTAACCTGCTTCCTTCAAGGATGTGATACATAAATGTCTGCAGACAGGCACAACTTTATCAAACTCTATTTCAATCTTTGTTTTTCTTTTAGCAAAGTAATTTGTGAAATTAATTCCTCACCAATTGTTTTCCCAGTAAATAAGACTTATGGAAAATGGAAAAATAAGAAGCACCAGTACTGCAACACCCTACCTTGACAACAGCTACATCAGCATTATCTTACGTGACTACTTTCAAAACTCCAAAGTCTATTAAATGCTTGAAAATTCTAAGAGAAGCTTAAGACAGTTGGCTGTAATTAATTTCAATTTCAGCCCTTAGCACAGTGAGAGCTCTGTATCCACTATGCCCAACCCATTTCAGGCAACCATCCCTGTGTTCTAGAAGTAACTTTCACCCTGTTTACAGGATCCAGGTTGAGCAAAAATGATCTTGCTCAAATGTTAAACATTAGGCTCTAATTGTCAGTTCCTGCTTCTGATCATAGATCAGGAGGGGAAAGTAACAACTCTTTTTGTTAAAACTCCTTCCTACACTAATGCTATCTGTCCAGCTAAGGTTACTTCTGGGGAATATAAAGGTCCTTTTTCCTATGTTTTTCCTGGATTTAGAGCACATTCTTTATGAATGTAATTGTAGCATCAGCATCTAGAAACAGAGACAGAGCCATGAAGGACCAGAGCTTTATGGATCATCAAAGTTACTTTGCTGTAAGTTCAGATTAGTCACACAACTTGAACATGTTTCTATGGTAACCACCAAAAGGTAGCTATAGGATAGAGAAAATGCAAAAAGAGTTTAATCATTTCACCACCAAATAAAAATTATTGAAACACCACAGAAAGAAATGATGTAGGAAAGAAAATGATGTAGAAAGAAAAAATGCAGTGTACATAAAACAAAGAATGATGTGGAAAAGGAAGGCAGTCACTAATCACTAATTTCTTTAACTGTAAATGGGTCAAAATTACCTGGAAAATACAGAATTTTGAAGAAAAGATTTTTAAACATATACTGATTACAAGAGACTCCTCTAGATCAAAGACAAAAATATTTCAATAATAAAAAGATCCAAAAGGTACACCATGCAAATAGTAACTGAAGGAGAGCAGAAATAGATACACTAAATGGAATGGATGGAATATACTTCAAAGCAAAATAGGATTGTATGAAATAGAAATATTTTATGGGAGGACATTATATAAAGGTTCAAAGTCCTGTTATAAAAACATAAATTTTAATCATATAAATGAGGTACAGCAAAGAAAGAAGGTGTAAGATTTGATGCCATGTACCTAATAACTACAAAATACATCATGCAAAAGCTGGTAACATTGGAGAGACAAATAAGCTGGGAGTAAGGAGATATAAATACCCCACTCTTAGTAACTAGTAAGAAGAGCAGGAAACCTGAGACACTGCAGCAATGAGCCAACTAGATCCAACAGGCATACACAGAAGACTCTAACCAAGAGCAAGCATGAACATTTTTCTCAAAAAGTGTATATGGGACATTTTTCATGACACATTAACATACAAATCAAGTGTCGGTAGATTTAAAAAATGGATATTAGAATAAAAAGTATCTTCACTTCCCATGGTGGAATGAATTTTAACACCAGTACAGGAGGCAACAAGAAAATGTTCACAGATCTGTGGAAAATAAGCAATGTACTCATAAACAAATAGTTGAAGGTGGGGTTTAAATGAGTTCACCAGACCAAGATAAAAGATAAATAGGTGTTTTATTGGGAACAACTTACACAGATAAGAGTAAATAACAGCCTCAACCCTCCTGCTCCAGAAGATGAAGTCTCTGCCCTTCTGATGTTCTCTGAGACCCAAGAGAGCATGAGTGGCTCCTCTCTTTAAGGGGGTAATGTCTACACCTGAAACCACACCCAAAGGGTGTGACCACTACTGCAATTTCACTGGCAAGGCAAGATGCCACAATTCCCCTTTTAGTCTAAAGAAGCAGGTTTTAAGCCTGATGCAAAAACTATATACAATGGTAACAAATGTCAAGTATATTCCAGGGAAAAGAAAGGTAAAAACATACACAAATTAAGACCTTCAACCAGCAAGAGCAGCATTGAGCAATAGAAACATACTCCAACTGGTGGGTTAAAGAAGAAATCACAAAAAGGAATGAAAGAAAACACAACTTATCAAAACTAATAGGACACAATGCAATCGGGGTTAAGAAAC